AACTAGACCAGTAGCCTACAGCATCATCATAGCCTTCAAACAGAGGCCTCAAACCTGCAGCACACTCAGGCCACACACAGCCAACACAGCCAAAACAGAACAAGAACCAAACAGCACCTGCACACCAGTAACCCAGCACAAACAGGTTCACTGGAGCAGCCAAACCAGACCGGAACACACCAAACAGCAACCCCAATCAGAGACAGACAGCAGATTAGGGGACCCCTGAAAACCAGAAACAGTAGCAGCCACCTGAACCAAACGAGAACCCAAACAGCAAGCAGGCCAGCACAGACCCAAGCACTCAGCCTGCATCAGCCACCCAACACGCCTGCAACTCAGAGACAGAGCCAAAACAGGAAAAACATCGCCTCCCTGCATAACCAGTATCATCAAGGTATTTTGCATTTTAAATCCTGCACCCATTTGTAATGAGCTCTGGTCCAAGAACCGTCAATCAACTGTTGAGACCTGCCCAACACTTCCACACAGATCGTCTTGCACAGTTTACGAGGGCAAATCACAGCTTTTTCCCAAAATGCATGATTCCTAGCAAACTAAATGTAATACACACATGCAGTCAAAACAGCCAAGCAAAACTTCTTCTGTATCTGGTCAGCCCCATACCTATTCCAATGCTTCCAGGAATTTGTCAGATTAAAATGTCTCTCCTTGATCCCTAACCAGCAAGAAATGGAATTAATGCATCTTTTACCATACGAACATTTGAAAAACAAATGGCTGTGGGACTCCTCATCAGAACCACACAGCATGCATCTTGTGTCAAGGTTGCATCCAAAATGTGACAATCTGTCAGAAGTCTTAAGCCTTTCTTGGATCGCCAACCAGGTAATGAAGGAGTGTTTTGGAACATTAAATCTATTCCACACCCATTTACACCATGGCACCTTAGGCTGCTCACCAGCTAGCCAAGAATAGCATTCACTAATCTTGTATTGCTTACTAACCCAATTTCCAGCTTCAAACCCAAGCTTTAACTCATCCTTCACAGTGCACAATCTTCTCCACGCCCAACCATCACACCTCTTAGGCTCATAATCCCACCACTCCTGATCTTTTAAATAAATACTATGGATCCATTTCACCCAGAGGGAATCTTCCTTCTTAGCAATCTTCCAAACATACTTCCCCAAAGCAGCTTTATTCCAGTTACTAAAATCCCGAATGCCCAATCCTCCAACCTTCTTTGGTTTACAAACCCAATCCCAAGCAATAGGCGGAGCACCATTAAGCACAGCATTACCATTCCAAAGAAAAGCTCTACAAAGTTGGGTGATTCTATAAATAACACCCTTAGGCATGAGAATGCAAGCTAATAAGCACAGAGTTAATGAGAGTGACCCTAGCATTGTAAGACAAATTCCTGCTAGACCAACAAGTAATCCTAGCAAGAATCTTATCAATTATACTATCAAAATCCAAGATCCTCATATACTTAGCATTTAGAGGGATGCCAAGATATCGAAAAGGAAACGACCCTGCAACAAAACCAGTTCCTCCTAGAATCTCCTGCTGAGAATGCTCATCCATACTACCAAAGTAAACAGCTGTCTTATCAAAATTGGCTCGTAACCCAGACACTCTCTCAAAAGTTTTTAAAGCTCTAAAGAGAAGGGAAAAAGACATCCTATCTCCATGGCAGAATAACATAAGATCATCTGCAAAGACAAGATGAGTTAAACCCAGGGACTTACAGCCCTGATGAAATTTGAAACTTTTGAGCCCTCCAACCTTCTTAAGAAGCCGCGACAAGTATTCCATAACAAGAACAAAAATCAGAGGCGAAATGGGATCACCTTGTCTAATTCCTCTCTGACCCTTAAAGAACCCGTGAAGGCCCCCATTGATCATAATCGAAAAAGAAGGTGTGGAGATACACTCCATCACCCACCCAATAAAATTCTCTGGGAATTTGAGAGCCTTCAACATATCTCCAATAAACAACCATAACACCGAATCATAAGCCTTCCTCAAATCCACTTTGATAGTGCAACGGGGCCCCTTCCTTTTATTATTGTAATTTTTCAACATATCATAACACACAAGAATGTTATCCAGAATGGACCTACCCTCAATAAAAGCCCCTTGATTCTCACTAATTAACTCAGGCAACACAACCTTCAACCTTGAACACAACATTTTAGAAATAATCTTGTAAATCACATTACAATAAGCAATAGGTCTATATTGAGAGACATACAAAGCATCATCAACTTTAGGAACCATTGTCAAAAGAGTAGTATTAACTTGTTTAAGTAAGCGGCCATGTTAAAAAAAACCTAAGACAGCATCATAAACATCTTGTTTAATAATATCTCAAGAGGACTTAAGAAACTTACTAGAGAATCCATTTGGCCCCGGAGCTTTATCCTCTTCAATGCTCCAGAGAGCATTCTTTACATCAGAATCATTAAAAGGGAGACAAAGGAGCTCCTATTGATCCGGAGAAAGCACTCTCCCTTCATCAATAACAGCTTCATGAATCCTTCTCTCTGGGACAAAACTCGAGCCTAATAGGTCCTGGTAATAGCCACCTGATCAGGGTCTTGAATCACTTGGCCATCACAAATCACACTACATATTCTATTATGGACTCTTCTTTTCTGAATGTATGCATGGAAAAAAGCCATATTTAAGTCCCCATCTCGTAGCTAGTGAGCTTTCGCTTTCTGTTTCAGGAACCAGAACTTTGCATCATGAGCAGCCTGGTAGGCTACCCTAACTTCTCTCTCAGCAGAAATCGGATCGTCATTGTGAGGGTCCATGTTCAACTGTTTCTGAATACTCATCAACTTTGTAGAAGCTTCCAGGTCAGCAGTTTCAATAGTAGACTTGTCATTCAGATTACTCGCTTTAAGGGCTTTCTTAACTGCTTGCAACTTCTTCACCAACCTGTACATGGTCGTGCCCCTAATATTAATGCTCCACTCCTTCTGAATCAGACTTAGAAACCCAGAACAATCTGTCCAGTAGTTAAAAAACTTGAACGGTTTCACACTTTTCTCATTCAACCCGAAAATATTCATACAACACGGGATGTGGTCCATATTTCCTTCCGGAAGAAATACTGCCGTAGCCTTCTCAAACTTTTTAAGCCATTCACTGTTCACCAAGACTCTATCAATCTTCGAGCAAACCCTACTATTCCCCTCTTGTTTGTTATTCCAAGTGTAAAACAGACCTCCTACCCAGGGGCGGATCTAGGGGGGTTCAAGGGGGTTCATTGAACCCACAGATTTTTTGGAAAAAAATTATAAATTTTAATTTTAAAAAAAAAAATAAAAAGGTTTAAAAGAAATTTTTGTGAGAATAATTATCACACGGGTAAGTTTGGTGCATTGGTAATTCTCTGAATAATAGAGCAGCGCGCCCCTTTAATACATTAGGTCTTAGGTTCGACTCCTACTGCCCTCTTTTTTTTGTAATTTTTTTTTTTTTACTCCTTACATTCACATTTCAATATTTCATATTTCAAAAATCAAACATCAGACATTTTTCCCCAAATTCCCAAACACCAAAACCCTAACCTTGCTTGACACCCTATGACCCTAGCCAATAGCCACTAGCCGCCGCGGCACCGCACACCGAGACACCGACCGGCGACCACCTCACGTCCACACGGAGTGACGGAGACACGGACAAGTTGACGAGGGACGACTCACGACTGTTTTATCTTCTACTCTTCTGAGTTCAGATTTCAAGTTCTTCTAGTTCTACAATTGTGAGTCCTCTTAATCTCTTATTCCTCTACTAGTCTACTCATATTAATTCTTAATCTTGGTTTGCTTGTATTATTTTTTAAATTGGTTTATGGTTTTGATATATTGTTGAATTCTTGAATTGTTGAGAAATTGAATTGTAGAAAGTTAGAAGTTAGAAACTTAGAAAAATAAATTTTTACTTGTTCTGTTAATTGAAATTTGATAATTAGAAGAAGTTTATATTGTCAAATTTGTGTTTATTAGGGACTTGTGATTTTAATTGATAATTAATTGTGTATTTTGTGTATTATTGTAGATTGTAGAGCTTTTGTTACTATGATTATAATTGATGATTTACTAGAAGAAGTTTTTTTTTTTATTATTGTGTAATCCATCCATTTGTAATAAAAAAATTGAATTTATGTATTGAATTTTTAATCAATATATGATCATCGTTTTTTTTTTAAGATTTCGAACCCACAGTTCGGAATTCCTGGATACGCCACTGCTCCTACCTTAAAATTAAACAGATCATTTCTGCCCAAGCATTCTCTAAAATCTCGAACTTCACCAAAAGTGCAAGGAGATCCCACCCTATCTTCTAAATTCAAGATGTTATTAAAGTCCCCTCCAATGAACCCGGGCATATTAGCTCCTTGAGTCAACTCAGTTAACTGAGTCCATAAAGTAGCTCTCCTGTTTGGGTCATTTAACCCATAAACCATAGTGACCAGGAACACCTCACCTGAAGCTCTATGCTTAACATTTAAGTGGATAAACTGCTCCTTGACCCTCAACACAGTGATCTGAAAAATAGCAGGGAGCCACACTACCCAAATTCTCCCCTTATCACTCTTAGAATAATTAGCTGTCACAGACCATTCATTACCAAAACTACTAAACACAGCTCCAAACCTCTTAGCTTTCACTTTAGTCTCCATGAGCCCAAATAAGCCCAAGTTGTGTTGCCTCAAAAACTATAAAACATCACATCTCTTTCCAGGCAAATTTAGGCCTCTCACATTCCAAAAACCGACACTATCCATGGGAAGGGTTGGAACACTCCCCCTCCTCCATCACCCCATCTAACACTCTTCCTTCATCTATGCTACATAGCCTAGCATTTCCTACTAACTCCTGAGGCTTCCTTCTCTGAGCATTAGAGCTATTATCAATCACCTCTTCTTCTTCCAAACACGCAAAACTGTTCATAGTATCAACATTTGCTGTCATACCCTGTTGTCTATCATTCTGTAAGCTGTCAGTTTGCATAGTATTCTATTGCCTCACTTGCACTGGTTTCCAAACTTTCCTAACTGTTTCTCTGTTCATAGTCTCCCGCCTTCTATTCTGTTTCCTTGTCCACAGATTAGGGCAGTTTCCTTCATCATGACCCATCCCTTTGCACTTATTACAGTTAATTGGCTTCCATTCATAGCTGACTTTCTGGTTAACAGTAACTCCTTTCTCATCTAGAAAGTCAATTTCAGCAGAAAACTCTCCATCAACAGGCACTTCCACCATAAGCCTAGCATATTCTAATTTCTCTTTATTTGCTGTGATCTTATCAGTTTTCACTGGCCTCCCAATCAACTTCCCTATCTTCATTAGAGAAGTCTGCCCCCAAAACTTCAAATTTAATCCAGGTAATCTAACCCAGATAGGCACCTCCTTAATTCCTTCCTTCTCTAAATTTATGCCTGGCTCCCATCTCTTCATGATCACAGGCCTATTATCAAACATAACAGGGCCTCCAGACAGAACCTTCTCCATGTTTTCCTTACCTCGAAACCGAACCAGATAAACTCCATTCGAAAGCAGATTAACTTTGTCTATTCCAAATCTCCCCCAAACCCTTCGAATAAATCCATTCATAACAAAATAAGGGATCCTGGCACCAAGGGCATAGAAGATTATGGCCAAGCTCCAGTATAGTATTTCCGGATCAACATCCTCATCAGTAATCTGAATCTTTTCTCCCTTATCCAATCCATTACTCCCATCAACCTGACCAGAGACATCCTCACTAGACAAATTTAACCCCTCATCTCTGGTATTCTTGAACATTGCACTCCATCTTCTAGAAACATCCCCTCCACGAGGCCCATGAACCCTAAAAACACAGGTCTCTAGGATTTGAGCAGAGTGATGCGGACTAGGGCTTAGACCAACATGCATACCAAATACATACCCACTGGAGACAGACATGTTATCTCTAATCATCATTAAAGGGGTCGGGTTAACAGAGCCTGACTAAACATTTGAGTTTCGCCTATTCACTGTTCCATTGAAATCTGCACTAGGATTAAGGGAATTTTGGTGTATTACCTGCAACCAATCATTAAACTGCGCCGAATACATCTCCTTATCTTCCTGAGAGACTCTCCTTGAAGGATCATCCTGATCACCTTTGCCTTCAAGCCAACTAACCTCAGACCCAACCTCATCCTCACGATTTTGGGCATTACGAACATTCAATCGGGTTCTAGGCTTTGGGCCACGCTTCTTCTTAGACTTAGATGAGGAACCCTTCTTCCCTTTACCCTTCTTCCCCTTGGCCATAGCCCAATCAAATATTTCAAAGGAAGAAAAATGGTGGAAACAAGGATTTTCTCTCTCTAGGATTTTCTCTAGGATTTTCTCTCTACTTTCATTCTATTCAATTAGCTTTTTAATTAGCTTAGTTGAATGCATTTGAATTTCATTTGATTCAAAAATCTTTGATTGAATGTGTTTGATTTTCATTTGATTCAATTAGCTCTGTTGAATGCATTAGACTTTCATTTGATTCAAAAAGCTTTGGTTAAATGTGTTTGACATTCATTTGATTCAATTAGCATTGTTGAATGCATTTGATTTTCATTTGATTCAAAAAGCTTTGTTTGAATGACTTTTATCTGATTCAAAAATCTTTGTTTGAATGTGTTTGACTTTCATTTGATTCAATTAGCTTTGTTGAATGCATTTGACTTTCATTTGATTCAAAAGGCTTTATTTGAATTTGTTCGAAGTTCATTTGATTCAATGCATTGTTGAATGCGTTTGACTTTTATTTTATTTAAAAAGATTTGTTTGAAAGAATTTGACTTTCATTTTATTCAATTAGCTTTGTTTGAATGTCTTTGATTTTCATTTGATTCAAAAAGCTTTATTTGAAAGCAATTGACTTTCATTTGATTTAATTAGCTTTGTTTGAATGTGTTTAAATTTCATTTGATTCAATTAGCTTTGTTAAATGCATTTGACTTTCATTTGATTTAAAAAGCTTTGTTTGAATGTGTTTGACTTTCATTTGATTCAAAAAGCTTTGTTTGACAGTCTCAATATCTGAGTATTTACTCTCGTAATTTGTGTGGATTGAATGTATTCCCATATGTTCCCTAGATGGGAACATCTCCCATTTATAGGGTCTCGAAGTGCGTTCCCAGTCCTAGGTTATGGAAACCTAGGACTGATTGGGCTGCCTAGCAGTTTGGGTCCTTGAAAGCCGCCTTTCCTAGTTGGATATCTGTCTGTCATGTGTCGTGCACTGATTGGTCCACTATGGACTCCTCCCTGGGTGACACGTGGCAGACTCTGGTTGGTCCACGTGGCGAGGTAAAAATCCCCTAATCATTTGCCCCTTATAGGGGTGACGTGGCTTGCCACGTGGCACCTGTGGCATGTAACACACGCCGATAGGCGAACGACTTTTACCTTTTTTTTTTTGAAACATTATTCAGGGGTGCCCCTTGAAATTCTTACCCCCCTATATAAGGGTCATGCCCCAATCATTTTTCGCATATTCTCAAGATTTTCGAACATAGAATCTTTGACTTTTATAAAAGAACTTGTCTTTTTCTTAGAAAAGCACCTGTCACCTTCTACCTAACCGCCTATTTCTACAGCCGCCCTAGACTTTTTCCAAGCGCCAATAGTACCTTCAAACTAAAGGTAACTGCCTTCTTTTCTCTCATATTTAACTTTGTTTCTTTTCTTTTTTGAAAATGGTTTCCCAAAAGCACACGACACGGCCTAGGTTAGTGATCAACCAGACACCAAGGACGACTGAATCTAGAACTAGGAGTACCGACTACCCCTTGCTGGACCACCCTGTCCGAACTTCTCCGAGTCCGACTATCTCTGTGTCTATGCTGGACACCATGGCCATAATTAAATTGAAAGGAATGGTGTCCTTCCAACAAGTGTATTATTCCGATTGAGGGTTCAGAATTATTAAAAAGCTAATTCTTCTGAGAGGTCAAGTGATCGCAATGCCAAGGTGGAGGCCGCTTCCGATCAGTAATAATAATGTATAATTAATATTACAACTTAATCTTGACTGAACCCTTCGATTCACACCCAAATCGAGTAACTAATTCGACGCGATGAATCAATCCGTAGGATTAGATGAGTCATTTGAGAATTACGAATAAAGACGTCGGATATCGAGCTTAAAGCGTCGAAACCGAGCGTCGAAAGTCGAGTCGAATTAAGCATTCGACGAGACGAGAAATCAAGCAAACGACAAGTTCTAACAAAGTCGTAGCCTCGCATTGGCCTAGCCATGCGAGTGCTAGGCTAGCATAGGGCACCAACCGCATCGCATGGCTATACCGCAAGCCAAGCATGCATTTGCATGCTAGGCTCGCTAGCCGAACATGCTTGTGTGGTTGGTGCACCTAGTTGCACGCACGCTAGCTCCAGCATCCATGGCAGGGCTAAACAAGGCCTTGGCAAAGGCATCAAGGCCAGCTCCAGCATCCATGGCTAGGCTAGTCACCGCCTTGGTGAAGGCATCAAGGCCTTGGCAAAGACATCAACGCCTTAGCATAGGCATCAAGGCAGGTTGCCAGCTAGCTCATGCGTGTGCCAGCTTTTTCATGCGTGTGGGAGCTTGGTTGAGGGTTGCTTGGGGAGCAAGGGGTGGATGGTCCCCCCCCCCCCATGTGGTCCTCACCTAACCCTTTGCTCACCTCTTGACACTTGGCGTTTGTTGATTCACTTTTATTTTCAATTTGATTTTTGATTTAAAATAAATTGAATTAAGTGCAATTTTACCAATTCTCCCACATTGATAGGAGATTGGAATTCAAGGCTCCCTTCCCTATAAATACCCATCTTTTGAGATTGGGAAGGGACACTTGAGTTGAGAATTTTAAGGGATCTCCATGAAGAGAATACCTTGATTCTAATACTCTAGTTCTTGGTCTAGACCCGACTAACCTTTGGGGTAGAGACCATTCGGGTTGGGTCTCAAGGGTGCAAGCCGTTTGAGGCTTACGCACTTGCGAAGCTAGAGCTTTCAAGTACGAGCTCCTATAAAGAGCGAAGCGCGCGTCAAGGGTAAGATCGTTTTTTCTTCAATCTCTCTCTTTGTTAATTATTTATGTGATTGCATGTTTAGTTACATTAATTTGTGTGCGAGTCTTGGGCAGGTTTCAATCTGCGTAGTGTTGGACACTACGAAACCCAACAGCGGTATCGGTGCCGCGCTCATTTAATTACTGTAACCAATAATTAATTAAGGTGATTTAAAATGGATTTAAATTTCTGGTTTTGCTTTCTAATTAGATTAGAAGCTCGTTTTAATTAGTTTTAATCTCGTATTTATACTAATTTTTGTTCACGAACCCAGATTTTGACCCAAAAATAGTGAATTATGGGTGGTTTGTGTGCGAGTCTTGGGCAAGTTTCATTCTGCATAGTGTTGGAAACTACGAAACCCAACAGCGGTATCGGTGCCGCGCTCATTTAATTACTGTAACCAATAATTAATTAAGGTGATTTAAAATGGATTTAAATTTCTGGTATTTCTTTCTAATTAGATTAGAAGCTCGTTTTAATTAGTTTTAATCTCGTATTTATACTGATTTTGGCTCACGAACCCAAATTTCGACCAAAAAAATAGTGAATTATGGGTGGAATCGATGTTCTAAATTGTTTTTTACCCTCTTTGAGAACTGTCCAGAAGCCAAAATCCACCCAGAAACATGGTTTTCGAAGGGTTTTTCGTTTTGACGAAAAATTTTAAATCCTTAAACCTTGATTAATTATGGTATGTTAATGGTAGATTATGTGTATGGTTACATCATTAATCTACTGCAATAATAACCCTTATTAAGACTGTTTATGAAGTCATATTAGGTGCTTAATTTGGTGAGTTCATTTTTCACATAAACTTGTATTTTCACATTTTTGCAAATTAATTGCTTCAAGTGTGAATGTTTATGGTGAATTTGTAATTTTGAATTCCTTAAAAATTTTAAAGATCCAATCTTTAATTGTTTATTTGGTTGGAACTTTACTTTCTAAATTCCATGTTGAACTAATTTTTGAATTTAATCATTTTGAGTTGATTAAAGTACTAAAAGTTCAAAACTTGTGATTGAAATTTAATTAATCTTCATATAGGAAGATGTAATTTTTCAAGTTTACACAAGTTATTGTTGGAAATTTTTCATTGGATGAATGTGTTCATTTTTCCAACCCATTTAATTTTGTCAAATCTCATTATTACTCATGTTTGATTAAATTAATTGTGAGTATAGCCCTTCAATTTTGAAGCATCAAGATGAACCAAAATAATTTAAAGAACGGTTCTTGAATTAATTTTGGTTTGTGCACTAATATTGAATTTATTTAAGTTAGACTTGTTTTATTTTCATTCTTGCTCAATATTGGTTCTAAAATAAATTTAGAATCAAATTTTTATGTCACACATATATCGGGATTAAATCCCAAGATAAGAGCACGCAAATCAAGGCAAAGACCGCCTAAGCACACCCTTCGGCTAGCTAGGCTGTTCACGCAGCCCACATGTTGCTGCCGAGGTGCGTGTGTGGGTTGCTCATGCCTCGAAGGCACGCTGTTGTGTGGTGTACTTGAGCTAGATTCATGCTTGGTGCTGCATGCTGGTGCAATGTGTTCGTGGTTGGTGCATCGAGGATGCACGGCTGATGCACACATGGTGCTGCAATAGGGGTGCGTTGGTGCTACGATGTGCTGCTAGGCAGCACAAGCTCGCATGACTTAGGACCTTTGAGGCTGTGACTTGTGTGTGTGCAAGTGCCCTGATGTGGTCGGTGTAACGCGCAAGCGACGTCGGTAGTCACTCCCACTTGCTTGGGCCACAAGCGGTTGTGCGGGCGCGGCCACGCAAGGCACCTCAAGCTTTGGTGCTAGGCACTTGGGAATCATTGGGCTATGCGTTTTGCGATTTTTTTTTT